ATGCATCTGTCTCCAAGATGAAGGGCTTCGAAAAATCAGGCAAGGCTAAAACAGGGGCACATGTTAACACAGTTTTCAATTCATCAAAGGCATGTTGGGCTTCTTCCGACCATACAAAAGAATCTTTACACAGGAGGCTTGTTAATGGACTAGCTAGCTGTGCGTATGCCTTAATGAAGCGTCGGTAGTATCCACTAAGTCCCAAGAAACCTTTCAGCTGAGTGACATTTTTAGGTCTGGGCCAGCTCTGTACTACTTGCAACTTAGTTGGATCCATTTCCACTCCTTTCTCCGAGACGACATGACCCAGATACTCCACCTTCCGCTGCCCAAAAGTGCATTTAGAAAATTTAGCAAACAAATGGTGTTGTGTAAGGACTTGCAATACTGCCTCCAGATGTTTGAGATGCGCATCCCAAGTCGCACTGTAGACTAGGATGTCGTCAAAAAAAATGAGAACGAACTGCCGCAAAAATGGACGAAATATTGTGTTCATCAATGCCTGAAAAGTTGCCGGAGCATTGGTCAGTCCGAATGGCATGACTAGCCATTCATATAGCCCCAAATGAGTCCGAAATGCTGTCTTTTCTCTATCAGACTCTCTCATTAGGATTTGGTGATATCCCGATTTGAGATCCAATTTGGAATAAAAAACAGAGCCGTATAATTCGTCCAACAACTCATCTATGGTCGGCATCGGAAATGCATCTCGCACAGTCACTGCATTTAACGCTCGGTAGTCTACACAAAACCGCCAAGAGCCATCTTTCTTCTTTACCAAGATGACAGGTGCAGAGAAAGGGCTAGTGCTTGGACGGATCAATCCATCTTGAAGCAGCTCTGTGACCATATTTTCAATCTCAGTCTTTTGGCTTACTGGATAACGGTATGGACGCACCTTCACTGGTCCAGTGCCCGGCAGTAGCTCAATTCGGTGTTCATGGCCCCTTGGTGGCGGTAAGCCATGAGGAGTGTCGAAAACACCCTTGAACCTCTCTAATAGTAGTGATAGCTCCACTAGAGTGTCCGCTTTCTCATGCATCAGTGCGGTATACGTCGTTTCATCCAAACCGTTCTGTAAGGGGGTCATCACGAAGCATTCAGCGATGGCATCTGTGTTTTGTATGCGTACCAAATGATGGAACTGAGCCTGAGTCACAGCCGGTCCTCTGAATCCTTTTAAAACAACAAACTGACCATCTAACAGATATTTAATGGTGGACGTGCTATAGTCTGCAACGTGGGGCCCTAAAGTCTCCAACCAGTCTGCGCCCATTACGATATCAGTGCCCACCACCGGTAGTACATACAGAGTTAGCTTGATTTTATTACCATTCACCATCACTTCAAGGTCTCTTACCTCCTCTGCACTTCGCACGATCCTGCCAAATCCACCTAACACACGAATCTCAGGTGCCGGTACCACAGTCAAGTTGAGATGTTTAGCGACGCGAGGATGTATAAAATTGTCAGAACTCCCCCCGTCCAATAGAATTTTAACAGGCAGCTCTTGTATAATCCCATTGAATCGTATAGTCGCGGGCCCTCGCGTGCCTCTTAATGCATAGATTGATAAATGGTGTAACGTAGCTGTGGCCTCTATTTCTTCCAGGATTATTTCTTCCTCGTCCCTCTGTTCTTCTTCTCCGGTTAACATCATAAGTTGCTTGTTCGGGCATTTGTGTGTAGGTGAAAATTTAGCATCGCATGTATAACAAAGCCCTTTCTCTCTTTGAACCTGCATTTCAGCTGCTGTCATTCGCTTCACTGGCATCGTCCTGGGTATGGGCAAGAGTGGGGGCAAATTAGCTTTTCCCCAGCCGGAAGTTGCCAATGTGCTACCGCTGCCACCCATGTTGCTTGTAAGCGGTTTGGTCGTCGCATGCTGAAATGCCGTTGACCGAGTTGTAGAAGTTCCTGTGACTACGGGCTCAGAAAATAATTTGGACAATGCCATCGCACTAAGAAGTGTGGTGGGTCGTTGTACCAATACATCACGCTTCAGCTCAGGTTTAAGGCCCCCTAAATAGCAGTCAAGCAGTGCCGGTTCTGTCATATCCTAAGTACGGTTTGCGAGGGCTAAAAACTTCTGATTATATTCCTCTATCTTTCCTCCTAGTCCTTGTTGTGTTAGCTTGAAAAGCTGTGCTCGAGGACAGTCGAATTGCGTTGGCCCGTAATAGACCTCTACCGCCTTAGCTAGATCACACCATCGTGTAATCCATCCTGCCTTTTCCAGCATTTGATACCAAGGCAAGACGTCCCCGTCGAGATGTACCGATGCTATCATCAATCGTTGTGGATTATGTATATCATAGTATTTGAAAAAACGCTCAGCCTTAAAGAGCCAATCCAACGCTTCGGATCCGTCGAACCGAGGAAAATCTACCTTCACTGATCGATAAGGGCTCGGCACGTAGTCAATCGGCTGTACTAGTGGCCCCCCCGCAAACGAGGATTCCTTGGAGCTTGACGTAGCCGGTTCCGCAGTTTGCAGCAATCCTTCTACCGTTTTCATCATGGCTCGCATCATGCCTTCTAGTGTGTCAAATCGAGTGTTCACCTCTTCTAAACGATTATCGATCTGATCAAAACGGGTTCGGGCATCCTCTTCAAACTCATGGGTGCGTTTCATATCTGCTTGCAACTCCTTCAACCGTGTATTCTCAGCCATGGATGCTCACACACCTCTCAACGAGAGCACCAAATGTAACGTTAACGCTTCAACAACAATCACAATAATCTGTTCTTACTCTGAATGTATTATTAAGAGTTCATATGAAGATTACAGAGCGTATATATGAGAGAACAAAAGGTACAAAGGGGCGGAAATCTCAACAACACAGAAACTAGACAGGAGAGAGAAAGAGAGAGTGATGGAGGGAGAGGGAGTACAGAACGCTTGTGAGAGAGAGAGAAGGCCACCCAAATCATTCCATGCACGTCTAACCGTTTCTGACCTCCATATACTACTCTGCACCCTCCAACGCACGCAACTTCCACGTTTTCTTCCGCATCCTCATGCTTCTACGTAATGCTTCCGGCCTATGCATATCTGATGGGCCTCCATTTCCTAAGCCCATATGTTCCGGTGTTACAATCATTTCCTAAGCCCATATGTTCCGGTGTTACACTTTCTTTTTGTTTTTTTTAGAAGTATTAACACGTCAACTGAAGGATTAACATGTCAACTGTTCTGCATAATTGATTCTATTTTGAGACGTAACAAGTAATTTTGACTCCCTAATATGCCCGCTTGGTCTCATATTCAAAATTCAACAATGTAATTAAAACAAATTATTCGGTTGGCTATCGCAATTTACAAGTCTAGGCGAAGACTTGGTGGGTGATGATGATGATTATTACTCTTCCGGTCCTTAATATAAGACTCATTTAACTAATTTGATTAGATCAAAGAAGTTAGGTAAGTTAGTTAATTATAAGAAATATAACACATTTTTCCTAAAACACCACAATCATCTTTCTTAATATCTTATCTCCCTCTTTTACTTGATTATGGTTGAGAGAGTATCTATAGGGGTAATTTAGAGAAAATTGATAAATATGATAAATGGGTCTTATATTTAGGATCAAAACCAACTCAATAATTGGATCCTATATTAAGGACCGGAGGAGTATTATTATACATGGAGTAGTGAAACATCGTGAAAAGCATCTCCATGAAATTGAGTCGGTGTTGGTAAATATGGAGAGAAACTTAGCTCTGAGCCTAGCTACAAGGGACGATCCCATGTGGAGAGGGGGTTGACTTACCGTCGCATTCTGGAAGCTCTGGAAATGAGTTGTTTTAAATGACGCGAGTCATCATGTGTTGCTTGCAGTACAGCCTGTTCCATATTTTGTTAGTTGATGGATAAATATTTGGATATGAGATGCTTAAACATGTCTCATTTATGCACGCTGTCTGTTGTTGAGTTTGTGTTTTAATTCCAGGCTTTTGTACGTTGTTTCAGAGAAGCTCAATCTGCAACTGTGGTCATTTCAATTGAAATATATGTACACTATCCACTCATCGACTAAGCTGCAAACTAAAGCTGTGCTCACCTCTGATGAGCGCATGATCTTTTTTTCATCTGATGTATGCTTCAATCTTCTGCCACTAATATAAGTGATCGATGTTGCTTCCCAAGACTCTTAGAAGTCTGGACTGTGCTGGAAAGTTAACCCGTTTCTTTTCTTTTCTTTTCTTTTTCAAGCGAGGACTGTGACTTCCTTGGCATGCTGTTCATCCAGTGACTCTTTCATGAACCCCTATATAGATGTGCTGTTCTCATTTAGAAAATTACCAGGCTTGATTTGAGCAGTCATAACACTATAACAGGCTTAGGCTTACGGCTTTTCTGCAGTTTCTGTGCTCGACTCAGGTTGCATTGAATTTTCTTTGAGCCGCATCAAACTTATAAGATTAAGGGCATACATGTAAATCCTAATATACTGCCTCCCTCCGATGTTAAATATAAAAACTAATTAATTAATTTGAGCAGATTAAAAAAATAAATTAAATTAGTTTTTGCAATAGATAGTCTTTCCTAAAATATCATTACTAATCAAGTTTATTGGCTAGAATTATTATTATTAGAAGGATTATTTTGGAAAAAATAAATAAATATGATAAACAAATTGAATTGGGGTCTTATATTTGGGATCATGATAAAAGTCAAATGAGGTATTATATTAAAAAAAAAAGTAGTATATACGAATTCAATTTGTATGAAATATTATGATTCTTTCTAATTAAACTGTCTCGACATATAGATGACCCAAAATTTCACTCTTCATCATTTTTAATTAGCTTTTGAAGAGAGGCAGAGGATAAAAGAGGCACCAACTACATTCATTGAAGAAATTAATGCTGTTACTTGAATCCCTCAACGACTCAACCACGACTTCGGTGCCAGCATTAACTAGTCTCCAGCACCCACTGATCATTAGTTCTATTTATACACCCAGATATAATTTTCACCCCGTTTTTCATCTTTTCAAAAGCCACCCGGTGATACTTCCTAACAGCAAACCCGAAGCCATGGCCAGTGAACGTGATCTTTTCTCCACTGAGATTGTAAACCGCGGAATCGAATCATCAGGACCCAATGCTGGCTCTCTGACGTTCTCGGTGAGGGTGAGGAGACGGCTGCCGGACTTTCTTCAGTCAGTAAACCTCAAATACGTGAAGCTGGGTTACCACTATCTGATAACCCATGGCATTTACTTGGTCACCATTCCTGTGCTTTTGCTGGTCTTCAGCGCCGAGGTCGGCAGCCTCAGCAAAGAAGAGCTATGGAAGAAGCTTTGGCAAGACGCCCGCTGCGACCTTGCCACTGTCCTCGCGTTCTCCGGCGTCTTCGTTTTCACCCTCTCCGTCTACTTCATGTCAAGGCCTCGCTCCATATATCTCATAGACTTTGCTTGCTACAAACCCAACGACGACCTCAAGGTGAATAACCACTCCTTATTTTCATTACTATGCTCTGATTTCTCCCAGTAATGCAGACAGTGATGGGGTTAAAAGCAACCCTTTAATATCCTCACACAAGCACATATATAGGTTAAGTTCATAAGCTGTATAGTTGAATTGTGTCGTATGTGTGCAGGTGTCGAGGGAGGAATTCATTGAGGTGGCAAGAAGATCAGGCAAGTTTGATGAGGAGAGTCTAGAGTTCCAGAAGAGGATGCTGATGTCGTCAGGGATCGGGGACGAGACTTACATCCCGAAGGAAGTGATCAGGTCAAGTGAAAGCAGCGCAACAATGAAGGAAGGTCGAGCTGAGGCGTCCATGGTTATGTTCGGGGCACTGGACGAGCTGTTCGAGAAAACCGGAGTTCGTCCTAAAGACGTGAGTGTTTTGGTAGTGAACTGCAGCATCTTCAACCCTACACCGTCGTTGTCGGCGATGATCATAAACCACTACAAGATGAGAGGAAACGTGTTGAGCTATAACCTTGGTGGGATGGGTTGCAGTGCTGGGATTATAGCAGTGGACTTAGCAAGAGACATGCTTCAATCCAACCCAAATAATTATGCCCTAGTGGTCAGCACCGAGATGGTGGGATTTAATTGGTACCAGGGCAAAGAAAGATCCATGCTCGTTCCAAACTGTTTCTTTCGTATGGGTTGCTCTGCTATTTTGCTCTCCAATCGTCGTCGTGACTATAGGCGTGCCAAGTACCGCCTCGAACATATTGTTCGCACTCATAAAGGTGCCGATGATCGCAGCTTCAGGTTCGTAATTCTAATTCTCTTGGCTCTTACTATTAATCTCCATTGCATATTCTGTTACATCAACTGTATATAATGACACGCTTTTCACGAAAGGAAGCAATTAAGTAGTTTCGGATTTCACTCTAATTTATGGTGGAACGGCATAAAGTAAAGTGCTGAGTGAAGAAAGAGAGAACAAAATGGACCAGTAACAATTACTAGGTATGAAGGTTTCGTGCGAACATGTGCATGGAAACCAGAAATAATTAAATAGAGTTCAATGCGTGGTGATATATCTAGCCCACCATAACTATAGCTTTCTCATGGACCATCTAAGAGACTTTTGGACCCTGGAGTAAAATTCCAATGACATCTTTCAAATTTGTTTGCATTCTTCTTTCTTGATCATTTACATCCCTAAAGGAACCATTGCAAATTTACCATAATAACAAGTAATTACGCTGGTTACTGTAGTTGTGTGTACCAAGAGGAGGATGCACAAAAATTCAAGGGGCTAAAGGTTAGCAAAAAGCTAATTGAGATTGGCGGAGATGCTCTGAAAACCAACATCACAACGCTAGGACCCCTGGTGCTACCCTTTTCTGAGCAGCTTCTCTTCTTTGGCACACTAGTATGGAGGTACTTATTTGGGGGTAATAATTCAGCATCATCACGGAAGCCATATATTCCAGACTACAAGCTGGCTTTTGAGCATTTCTGTGTGCATGCTGCGAGCAAGACCATTCTTGATGAGCTTCAGAGAAACCTGGAACTGAGTGACCACAACATGGAGGCCTCCAGGATGACTCTGAACCGCTTTGGCAACACATCCAGCAGCAGCATATGGTATGAGCTCGCTTACTTGGAGGCCAAGGAAAGGGTCAGAAGAGGAGACCGTGTCTGGCAACTTGCCTTTGGCTCTGGGTTCAAGTGCAACAGTGTGGTTTGGCGTTCCATGCGCCGAATCAAGAAGCCTTCTAACAACCCTTGGCTCGATTGCATCGACCGTTATCCCCTGTCTAACACACATCCTCGTTGAGCAACTGCAAGTACTATGATCTATCTATCAGTATTGGCAGTCATTCATTTTGTGGTTGATCTTAACTGTTGCATTTTCTACTTCGTTACTGTATACTACTACTGTGACATAGACCTGCTTGTTTCTCTGTCTCTGTTTGTAGTAGTTATCAAAGTTAAATGAAAGACTATATGAAGTCAATCCACCAATGTTGTCAGTGTCCCTGTCTTCACTATCAACATGAATTTTGAAACAAAACATAAATTCCTGAAGAATTCGAAGTTTTTGGTTTGCAGGTGAAAGTGTCGGACAGTATTTGACATGATTTAGACAGTCAGATCTAGTTCTATTTCAATAGCAAAAAAAGGATGAAAACCAATTTGATAGTTTAGCCATATGAGAAAATTTTGATTTAAAAAAAAAAATCAGAATATATTATCTGCCTATCTGAGCTCATGTGTAGACGCGGAAGAATCACCAGTCAACTTGTCCGTACGGATCTCAATATTAAATGTAGCGGAGGGCACCTCCCAACTGTGTGAGGTATGGATATGTTGATGGGGTATGTCTCAATGAATATGTAGCCCACCAATATAATGATATTCAACTATCTCCAACTTCTTCATAAATGAGAATTCAGTGCCCTTCGCGCGGCATTCACCTGTTAATGGCCTTGCTACTATCCATACATGACCAACAAACAAGTCTGAGGATTCCGTTGGCCGAAACAAAAAAAAAGGAGGGGTCTGAGGGTTCCAAAACGTTTGCAACTCAGAGATCCATTGAATGATATCAGATTAGTAAAATTGAGCATTGAACCAAACATCTGTTAAAGACATGATTGGATCAAAACCTGTTCTCTTCGAACTTTTTGGGTATATTTGATAGTGGATCACTAGCACATACTTATAGTATATATGCTGACCCCGCCGTGCAACGCGGGGGTGTTTAAATATGTACTCTTTTGGTCCTATCTACAGGGCAAAGAGAGAATTTTTTTTCCATCCTATTTATAGGTTATTTTATTAAATTTTTACTGTGCATATATCATATTGTTTTTCATTTATTATAATGTAGATAGTTATTATTTTTGAAAGGAGTATATATTAAATAGGGGTAAAGTTGAAAAGTTACTATATTTTAATGAAGAGTTAATGCAGTTTAAGATTTTTCTGGGTCTGTGTAAAATATGTTAGAAGTGCTTCATAAATAGGACCAGAAGAATATATAATATTTATATATGCGACACAGTGATTGTAGCGTTACAGTTCAGGAGAGACGATCATGTGTGACTGGTCCAATTACACGAGAGGCTTTCGACTATGATTGTCTTTATTGTTTTAGACGAATTAACCATGTTCACCCTTTTTTTTTCCCTTCCCGTTTTCACTGTCAAAATGACAATTTCTACATAAACATAAGAAATGAAGAAGAAGGAGAAAAATTGATAAAAATGTTATTCTCCAGGTATTATATAAATGCGGCTTGCCTCAGTTTTCTGAGCCAGAGCAAACCTTATTCATAAGAGCCGGGGGGGGGGGACTAGGAATAGCCAAAAACAATCCACTGAAATTTAACCCAGCATAAAAGGAAGGCTAATCCTTGCCATGCTAACAAATCTTCATCCAGAAATTAAGCCTTTGTCATGCTAGCCACTCTTCGCCCACACCTTCAAAATCGCCTATGTCCATGCTGTGTAATGTGTGTCCAAAGTCATGGAAAAGAAAATGATTAGTAGATGTTCAAAAGTCCAGAACCAGAAAAAGGATATGGGAATAAAATAAACTCCTTTCTTTCATCAACATGGTTAGACTAAATAATTTTCAGTATTGAAGGTTCCTATTCTTCCCCTGAACCGTACTTCGCGCGCATTAAGATTACGAAAACTTGTGAAAGTCCATTTCAGGCCGAGAAAAAAGCCCATTCAAGACATGGAGCCCATTAAGCTATGTTGGGCTACACAAATTGTACCCAAATAAAATTGGAGCTCGTAAGCATACCATGCAGCCTGACGGTCACTGCTTCATTGAATCATTGTCAAATTAACATAATCCAGTTCAATGTTATGTGTTGTTAGTTCAGTTTCACCAGGCTGGCGGGGGTTACTTCTATCTTAGACTCATTACCATACTAATACTTTCCGGCATTAAGGTCATCAGAAACCTATTTAGAACTAAATCGGCCAATTCCTTTGAAGGAACGAAGGAAAAAAAATGAAACGGAGTCATGACTCATGAGAAGACTGGAACAGACGACAAAATTTCCTTTCCCTCAGCACGCACCAACAAGAAATACTTCCTAATCAAATGTACGAATGCCAAAATCTGAGAGTTTGCATTAAACTTACCAAGGTAAAGTAGGATCTAAGACGGATTGCTCCGAGCACTGTTCAAAGCACCTCTCATTTGCATTCAACCAGTCTGGAAACTCCATGGGTCCATCAAAAATAGGGTGTGCGGCATCCTCTTCGGTGGCCTGATGTTCCACGTTCTTCATGAACTTGGGCCACAGTGCTGATGTGACCCAATTCATAGTGTCGTTCCATTCTGCTTGACATCGCTCTCCCCGCGATCCGATCTCCGCCATTCCTTCGTCGCCCATAGCTGTATGTTTACCTCCAGCAACCTGAGTGGCAGCAATGGAGTCAATAGCATCCGCCAGAGCAGAGGTTCCCTCTCCCTGTGATATTGCAACCGAAGGAACTTCCTGATCAGCTGACACAGAAAGTGAAGGAGAAGATGATGATGAAGATGAGTGCGAATAAAATGACGCGTTGTTGTTATCGACGTAAAGAGGAGCATCTAAGTTGACGAAATCCTGAAAATTGAGGTTCAATCCCAAAGGGCGATTAGGAAGGTTGTAACTGAGGTTTCCAGCCATTCGCGGTGGAGCAGCTGGGGAGGCGGGGGGCCAGTTCGGGGGATTTGGAAGAGACAGAGCAGGATGAGAGAAAGACGAAAAGGAAAAATCATCCACGAGATTCGAGAAATTGTTGGTGCATGATGGGTATATTCTGGGATTTCTCTGAGACATAATTCCTCCGTCTTGCGCAAAACACGGGTGTTGCGGTGGAAGGATGGGTACTGTCGGGTGCTGCTGCTGCTGTTTGGCTTCTTGTTGTGGGCGTTGGGTGGCTTGTTTCATGGAAGCTCTGTGAAATTTGAGGGCAGTAGCAATCTCCTTCCTAGCCTCTGCCATGTTCAGAAGCCTATCTTGGTAGGGCCTAGTGGGGTGGAGTCTCCTGCGAACTTGTCTTTTATGTGGTCGGCGGTGTGTGGATTTTTGAGTGGGTGAAGCATCTGAAACTTCGCCTTGTGTGGTAGAATTCGGAGGCGGGGAAAGGTCAGGGTGCATGGAGTCTTTTGATCTGGAGGGGGCTAACTGTTTCACCAGACTACGGATGCAGGTAGCAGAGAGATGAGGGTCCTGTTTAAGCTGACGACGGAGATTGTGGGATTGCATAGCTGGGTTAGAATCAAGCCGGAAAGACGATGGAGGAGCCATGGGATTCAGGATCTGTATCTAACTCTGCATCCACCGAATTGAGTCGAATGAGAAAGGAGGAGAATTCAAGGGGTTGTGCAGTCTTGTGCTACGAATCTGAGGGACAAAGCACAGAGCGGGGAAGGAGGCAGATATATAGGGATGAGATGAGCGTCATAAGTGGTTTTGTGGGGACAACCTGGGGCTTCGGAAACCTTTTGGAATTTTCCCTCTTTTGGCGAACTACGTTTGTTACCCTTTTAAGTAAACTAAATAAAATAAACCTCTCTCCTAGTTAGTCTCCTTTGACCTTTGTAAAACCCGACTTCTCTTGCCTCTGCAAATGTCATGCTTTTGGCGCTGCCTTCTGCAATAAGAACCACGGAACATTTGTTAATGTTTAAATTAATATTTTGATGTTATTGTTAGTTCTTATAACTTCATCAAATATTGACTTTGATTCCAATCTATGAATTTTTTTTTGTTTGAATTTAACCAATAATTCTTCTACTTTCAATGAGTTTTGATCTTCATCCTCATATTTAAACTCACGCCGAAATTTTATAAAATTAGAAGGACCAAAAACAAGATTATGATTAAATTGTAAAATGATATTAACCATAATATTTGTATATTTTTATTGTTTGACTATGTAGCCAAAACGAGCGGCAACAATAATGTCAGCTGAATGTGTTGGGCTTTATTGAGAGAGTTTGGAGCATTCATGGCGACGAATGCTGAAGACAGAAATACCCCATACCGCCCTCCTATTCCGCGTATTTTGATACCCGCTTGTTGCTTTTGCTCGCAGGATTTGCTTTGCGGTTTCACTGTTTTAATCAGAAACGCCTTCCATTTTAATTTCAGACACTTCAGCTATATCAGCTCTATATGCCATGTATTTGAAATCGAGGAAGAACAAAAACGTATGAAAACGGTCGTGTTTGGCTACCGCACAATATTTTGATTCAAAGCTAAAACCATCATCTAACAGAATATGTATGTACGTATATAACAGTAGATGTAAAAATATTCTGCGGCTGAGTTTGGCTTCTGGCATTTGCACCGCAAAAAGAACGCCTATGGCAATATAGACGCGTGACGAACCGACAAGTTGCGAGAACTTTAGCCTGTCCATATATCCCAGATGATGGAGTTTTGTAGATAAAATAATAACTTGCTGATCTTGAGATTCTTTGGCCGGGTTATATAGTTTGATTATTGATACACTCTTCATTTTCCATATATACGTCGTCTTGATTATCCCCCGCTCTGCCCAAATCCACATTTCGACGGTGACTTTTCACCCCACCGACTCTGTCTCATGTTTAGTAGTTATTTGACCAATTTGGATAGAGTAAGAAAATTAGTTAAATTGGTTATTTGTAATAAATAGGTATTGTCTTTCCTTGCTAATCAACTGTATTGGCTAAAATTACCATTACTACAGGGATTACCTTGAAAAAAAATGAATAAATATAAAAGACAAAGTGGATTAAGGTCTTATATGTAAAATCAAAATAAAAATTTAACGGGATCTTATATTAAGGACGGGAGGTAGTATTTTAAAAGAAAACACGGCATCAAATATATTGCAATTTGCCAACAGCAAAAGCAACTGAGCTTTCAAACCCACATTTAAAGAAACGTAAGGAAGCCAGTGTATAAATAAATAAAAGATTGAAGGGCACCTATATTTTTTTGCGGCATTAGTTTTGGAGAGGTCTTAGCTATATTTAAGACCTCTCATATATGCACATCACATGCATATATGAGAGGTCTTAGCCATCCAAATAGTAAGGTCGCTTTCGCCTATAAAGTGGCCATGCCCCTTCTGATCACTATGCCATATCCTCATTACGCCCAGCCGCACGCATCCTCTCTTGTAAGACGGTCAGCCTCTCTCAGGGATACACCGCCCTCATCTCATAGCCGTCACCCCACCTTTCTTTCTCTTTCTTTCCATTAAATAAATAAATAAATAAATAAAAGAAAATCTTTATTCGTGTTTTTGAATCGCAACTTGGAACCAACCAGAACCGTCCGGTCCACAAAAACCAATACTTAAAGTCATGGGACATCAGTTTTAACGATTGAAGGTACTTTCCCTTCTTCCTCTGATCATCACTTTCTGTTTTCATTGCTCACTCCCTCTTTTATATTCCACCAACGGGTAATGTGCGCCCACACCAATTCCATTACGTACGTGCGAGTGATTCATTGTATACTCTGATGATTTTCTCAACAACCCCCCCTTCTTTATTGCAATCACCAAATTTTATGATTTTTGATTACGTTGGCATCTATCGAGAATAGAAAATCATCACTTATTCACTTGCCCCATATATATATATCTTACGCCTTCATGCGCTGAGTTTATAGGCGACTTTCACGCCCTCCTCTCTGCTGATCAAATTGAGCCATCTTCAATAAATTTATTCAAAATTAAATCAATCTCACAATACGATTGAGTGTCTCCTGTCTAAAATAAAAAATTATGTTCGTTTAAGGTGAGGCGTGTAATATTTTTGACCAACAAAAAAGGCCAGGCATGTAATATAATTTAGTAAAAAAAAAGTTATAATTATTGAGTTGACGGTTCATGAATAGTTGGATGAATGAAAATAAAATATATTAAAAATAGAAGAAAGGTTTGGGTAATAATCTAACATTTAATTTGATAAGAGGGATTAATACGGATTTTAGGAATAAAGAGATAGAAAAAAAAAAAAAAGAGAGAAGAAGGTGACGTCAGCATGTTTTGACGGGATCTGAAGCTGCGTGCCCGCGTCAACCTTTTCCTATTTTGCTTTGTCCTCATGCGCAACTTCCTTAACAGAAAATAAATATGGGAACATCTTTTAAGACCTACTAAAACTCCTTAATATTTTTTTTTGCCATTAAAAAACTCCTTAATATTAATGATATGGGTATCATACTTTCATTTGCCATCTAAATAATTAATTTAATTTAATTTATGAGAATTTAAATTTTAATTTTAAAATACATATTGATAACCGAAAAAATAGTAAGATTATAAATACTTAACTACCAACAGAAAATACATATTAAAAATACTTATTCATTATAAATAACTAATTTAATTAATTTTTTTAATTTACTTAATTATTCATCTACCCACAGAGTTATTGTAATCAAATTCAAATCCGGCGAAGGCGCGAGCTACTGTAGCTCTGTTCTGTTCGCACTTTCTCCTCTTTTTCTGTTTTTCCCTACGCTAAACGTGCATGGATTTTTTGATTCTTTCCAGAGAACTGTGCCCGCACTGCACTCAAATTCTTTCCGATCGCATCCGTTCTATCAGCCCAGGCGAAAAAAACCACTTTACTCACAATATCAAAGGGCGTTCTCATGTTTTACTCCGATTGGCTTTTTGTTTGTTCTCGGTTTGTTAGACCTCTCAGGGCTTGACTATTCACAATCAATGTGTTTTCTCTGTCGCTGAAGCTCGTGGCTTTAAAATACTGCAACTTGTTTTTTTATTCGTTTACATGTACTATGACGCTTTGATTGTTCACCTAGTTGATGTCTTTGTTTCCTACAACCCGTAGAGTCTAATGGTGATACTCCCAGTGAATTCTAATGATGCGCGATCACATGAAACGACAGAAAATCATCGCGATGGTTGTGATGCGAATTCTACCGGGAGTCGGGAAGATGAAGAGAAAACAAATCACTCGGATGAAGTATATGAGACGTCTGAATCTAAACTTGTGTCGGGAACTTCTACAGAGGAAGTAGCTTGTGATTGCTATTCACCTTCATCAGAGAACCCGACTTCGCGTACGTCTTGGGCGAACATGACACAGGAGGATGAATTTGGGGACGAAGAAAATAAAGCGAATAATTTTAGTCCTTCGGTGACAGTAGAAATCCCTCGATCAGAAGCCTAAGTTGTCTCAAGAGCAGCGAGAGTACATCAGATTTATGAATATCAGGAGCAAGAAAGATTTCGCATGCTTTGAGAGAGCAAAAGGAAAAATGGTGAACATTCTTCAAGGGCTCGAACTTCATGAGGGTACTTTCAGTGCTGCTGAGCAGATCAGTATAGTCAATTACGTTACTTCACTGCAGGAGATGGGTAAAAATGGTGAACTGCAAGGTTTGTTGTCTGCTCCTTCTAACAAATTAATCCGTGTCCTTTTTTTTTTTGGTAGATAATCCGTGTCTTTTTAATTAATTACATGTGAAATCTTTACGAGTATTACATTGAATAATGAATCCAATTATCTATACATTGCATTCCTCAGGGTTTTAAGAACTGAATGTTAGTTTCGTTTATTAGAATTGAATATCATTTCTGAGGGACCACATAATGATCCTTCTTCCAAACTCTTGCAGGTCGGACGTATTCGGCTCTCCATAAGTGGATGAGAGGCAAGGGACGTCAAACTATCCAATTTGGATGCTGTTACAATTATGCAGTGGTCAGTATATCTCTTATGCTGCCTTTACTTTTATTACAAAATCATATATTGACGTCTTCATTTCGAAGGTTCATATATATACTTGGGCGAATCCATTGATGAATTTGATAGTGCTCTGGAATTCATAATGTTGCAATGCGACATTCTTTGCACTATTCACGGGATAAAGACGGTAACCCACTGGGCATTCTTCCTGAAGTGACAGTAGATCCCTTGCCTGATCTTTTCGAGGTTATGATTCGGCGGCTGATAAGGTGGCATGTGCTTCCTCCCACATGTGTGCCAGATAGTTGCATTGTAAACATTTATGAAGAAGGAGACTGCATACCTCCACACATCGACAACCATGATTTTGTTCGACCATTTTGCACCGTCTCATTTCTCTCTCAGTGCAACATACTTTTTGGATCAAATTTAAAGGTTGTTAGTCCTGGCGAAGTTGATGGCTCATTTGCTATCCCTTTGCCTGTGGGGTAAGTGTGTAGATTTGTTTTTGGTTATGTTGAATTCTCCATCAGTTAAAAACTGCGACGGAGGATTTAAAATCTTATAAAGGGCATCTATTTTTTTTTTCCTCTCTCCAGATCCGTACTTGTGCTGAATGGAAAAGGAGTTGATATAGCCAAGCACTGCGTGCCCGCAGTTCGATCAAAAAGGTAGTACTTGACGAAATGGAATTCCCTCAACGATTATGTAGGGCGCCGGCATCAATTTCTCATCATATATGGACACACTAATCCTTGTTATAATTCACTAGGATATCGATCCCGTTTAGAAAGATGGGTGCATCCAAACGGTCTGCAGGATATGTTGCAGAACCTGGCTTGCAGGGGATCAAACCATTGGCTTATGAAGTGGACAGGGAAAAGAAGTCAGATGAGCCGAAGGATAATGGTTATGCGAAGAGACAGCGACACGAGAGACAGAGTGGGATGGATAGAAATTAGTTATTCGGAGGCTCGCGAGACCCGATATAGGTGGGGCGGGGTTAAGGAGGCAATGGATATGCTCTTGTATAAGAGACAACATTTGCACACTCAAGAAGCTCTCCTGGTTCTGGGTGCTGTGGAGGGAAATATTCGGGTGGTAATTAAATTTGTAGTGAATTCAGCTCACGGAGTTTGTAGTCACAACTCACAAGAGGTAGGACCCCCCCCCCAAAAAAAAGTATAGTTTTTTATTGTAAGACATACAGAGTTCTAAATTATCTAATATCAGTCCTGACATGATGATTTTTGTTGGCTGTAAAATAGGTATGATGAATGTTTCGTCTTGTAGCACCTTTTAGTTTCGGCTTTTATTGCTTAATACACCTTATAACAATTATTTAACAATTGTTGGAAATTTAAACCTCTAATGATACTTTCTGATTTCTCAATAATACTTTAAAGCAAATAAAGTTCCAAAAATTAATACGGTTTATTTATAAATTATTTTCAGCACTTTTTATCAGAAAAAATTTAAAATTCTTTAATTTTATCTAAAAATTAAAATAGTTTCCTATAGTTTACTCATATTAAATATTTTTTGCCAGCTTACTCATCTTAAATATATATCTTAGAAAAAGTTTTCTATTTTTCTACGTCACTATTGAATAGGATAAAAAGGGTAAATTATAATAAATAATTGATGTACGTCCATGTGAAAAGGATCACAAAAGTACAAGGCCTCCCTTCCAAATACCTCGCAGGTACGATTGAAGAAAGCATTATTTAATTCTTGAAAACGGTTTAGAAATATTTACTTTTCTAATTTTAGTTAAGAATTTTATTGTGCACAAAAATTTAGGATATATTTTTCTCTCATAAAACTGATGCGCTTTTTTTTAAAACATAGTTCAAAAAATGAGGCACATTATTTGTTACTTAGACAAAGTGTTATAATATAAATTACACTACCCTTATATTTAAGATTGGAGTAGTATTATTTAGAGTTTTATCACACAATCGCCTTAAAATATTATTCCTCAGATTGAAAGAAAACATGCACGATATTACAAAAAATGGAGAATAATCAAAGAAAAGATCCCAAAGCAAGGCATCCATCTTGCTGTCGGTCATACAGAAGCCTCTATTCTGGGCTCAAATGAGAAGGCCGACTTGAACTCCATGATTTCACCATTTATGGAGCATCTTGGTAGTTCCACCCATGTTTTGCTCGCCAAATCATACAGCACATAAGTATATAGATCCGAGGAGTTCAGGCATATAAATATCCGACCGCCGGCTCCGACACAGTTAATGTCAGCCTTCTTGCCATACCACTCATTGGACATTGCCGGAGGCATTGCAGCAATCTGGTGCCAATGTTGATTGGCCTCGTCATACTTCCACACCCTAAGACTCTCACTCTCCAAGGATTCTGATAATACAACAACTAGCATCTCACCATTGCACTCCACGACATCAATGGAGTACTCACAGAAGACAGGTAACAACCTGGGATACTCGGAAAAGCACTTGTTTGTCAAATTGCAGGCTACTATTGTCCCGAAAGAGCTAAGAAAATAGACTACTTCCTGACCATCTTTGTTAGTTATAATTGACGAGTATTGCTTGAATGGGCTTCTTTCTAATTGCATACCACTCGCCACCACATATCCAGCCTTGCTTACAAAGTAAGCGACATTGTCATGGGTTGAGTCAGATTCTGGAAAAGAATCATCGACCTTTTTCCTCAATGCAGTCTCATCTTTCCAGCAACCAGAGACTGAATTTGAATCATACACCATAAACGAAAGATTTGGAAGCTCACCATGGATTAACACGATCTTGTAGGAGGTGAAAGTTGCACTCATCACAATGGCATTTAAAGATTGATTCTGAGGGGTTATGTGCAATGGAGGTAGGTCCTTACAAGATTTTGTCAAGGGATTGCACACAATGAAGTCTCCTGATAATTTACGGTAACAAATCAAGCCACCGGAGGATGCAACTGGCATGCAACTTCGATTAGAATCTTCAAGTAGAAGATTTGGATAATTGAGCCTTTTCCAACTGTTTTCGGCAGACTCGTAGATGACAGATTGGTTGAGATTGGGTGAAACCATCAAAAACCAAGGATTTCTTGACGGAACGAGAGAGCAGGCAAGCTTAAAGCTTGCAGAAAAAGCAACCGATCTCCATCTTTTTGACACAGAAATAAGGTGAAAAAATGTGGAAGTTGGTAGCCGTGAAAGAACCCTTTCAAAGAGGTCTTCAGGAAGGTCGTCCAGAGAAAAACTGTTGGAGAGGGGATCATCATCACACTCTGGTGACTTTCTCTTCAAACTTATCCTGGTATCAGGCTTATCACTGCGTTCCATTAGGCCAGGAGTTTGGGTAAAACTGCAGTAACAAAGGCAGCAAGACGTTATCAAGCAATTAACTTTTCCATTTCAAAAGCATGCACTAAACATAGAAAGCAGCAACATGAAACTGAATGGAGACTTTCAAACGGAACCTAGAGACACATCTATAAACTCTCAATGATTGTTGAATATTGCAAGCGTCAATGAATTCAAGCTACAGAAACCAAAATCTGGCATAATGTCATTGAAAAGATTTCCTTTATTCACATACATGAAGCTCGAAACTTGAGATGCTACCAGGCTTCCCAAGTCTCATCCCAACTACAAAACAAACAATCAATTTCAGGAATCATATATTTTACCTTTTAAACCCCTTCCGCCCCCCCCCCCAAAAAAAAAAAAAACCCTTCCTTCACATCATAATACAAATGTATGCATGCAATCAAGCAAAGATATAAAAGAAATAATCTTGAAGTCGAATCAAAACCTTTGCACCAGGAGTAGATGAGAACAATGCTCAGAAAGACTGACGTGTAGTAAAGCCAGAGTCACAAACTTTCTTACTGGACGAGTAAAATGATGAATGATAATAGGCCATAAATTATCTGTAGAGACGACACAGTAATATAATAAATGAAGGGTAATGTACCTGATTGAATCGAGAGTTTAAAAACAAACAGCTATGCTTTGTTAAGTAGAAGACACAGTGAGAAATTTAGTGATATTCCTTTTAATATGGGAGCTAGAAGGGAAGTTGAAGTGGGGGACAGAAAATCAGAAAAAGGGAAAAAGAGAAAGCTAGCTTAGGGACAAGCGATAGGAAGCTTCCTGGGTGAGTGGGTAGATCTTTATTTTTATAATGTCAGTTGTAAAAATGCGATTTTCACATAAAATGAGATTTACGATTGAGAAAGGGAAGCACTTGACTCTGCGCTCAAAAACCCTCTAAAGCTTGGACTTTGGCCCCAGGTGACTTTAATCGTCTCTGTAAGGCAGCCCAAAAGAAAAATAAAGAGGGACCACAGAGTTTTAAAGTTGCTCCATTCGCTTTAATCCACGCATGTCAAAGCTCGAAGGGTGTGTCGCGTCATGGGGGTGGTTTGTTGTTGCTGACCTTCCCAAAGCGAAAAAGCAAGCCCTAGCCCCTTATTTCCGGTGCCTTTGGCAGTTTGGCTCCTCGGTAGGGAATCTTTGTCTTCTGCCGCTTGCTCTGTAACTCTACAAATACATTCTCAGAGTTCTGCCAACGAGCCAAGCATGTTTAAGAAGAGATTAGATTAAACTAATGGGGAGAAAATTATACGTGGGACAGCAAAAGCCGTTATTTACGATCTTTTCCATCTCCCTCTCATTTTTTCACCTTTTTTTTTTCGTCCGCCTATGCTCGTGTGCTTTCAGGCGAAGCAGATGCTCACACACTCAAAAGCCAGGAGGGACCCCGATGCTCCGCTCTCGATCTGCACGAACGTGAGATACCTCTGCCTATAAAATTCACAAGCCTCTAAACGACATTCTTGTTTTTGGGGCTAAACGCCTCCAAATGACTTGGTTTTCAAGCATGTCACTATTATAATTAATCACATTTCTCCCTTTCCCATGAGCGGGTAATATCAACGAAATTTATTTTCCCTCATGACTCATAAATGAATATTTTTATTCAAATGCAATGCTTAAGTACTGATTCAAATTTCATATACCTAAGCTTAAATTCTCGAAGAAACGAGCTTCGCTGTGTTATAAATTTATTTTTCTCACACTTCTCCATTCTTCTTCTAATTCATATAAAAGTAATTAATCCAGAATTATTTTTTTCCCTTCAAAGATCGTAACGAGTAAAAATTTAAAAGCAGAGAGAAAATAGAATAATGAAGAAAAGACCATATTACAATTATTATTATTTGTAATTCGATTTGGTTTTCATGGCCAAAAGTGTATGCTCAACGAAAAATTTACAATTTGATTTGATTAATGCAAAGATTTTTCTCCTCACCTTTGTTCATCACCTTTTTTTTTGGAATAGTGAATAGAGTATTAATTGAGATAGAATGATTTACGCTTACTGCCCTGGCCGTCAGTAAATATGATGTCAAGTAAACGAACACAGCTTTGGATGGAAAAAGATTTGGGTGTGCAAAGACATGTTTTCTGCAATTTCGTTTGCAATGTGACCTTTGTATGATCATCCAAAAAAATAAAATTGCAAGAACCAATTTCCCCCGACTTTCCCGCCAAATATGAGAATTTATATTCCATTATTATTCGAAGCCTATCATCTCCAAAGACAATGCAATATTTGTCACGTTAGGGAAGAACACGAGAAAGGAATTGAACATTGTCACTATGGTCAAATTAATTTAAAGAATTCATCTAATTATGCTACTGTAGGATCCAAGATTCCCGCGAATAATGGAACGCCGGTCAAAATTTCCCAACTCACCACCTCTTTCAGATGATGGGATCACCAAATGATATGAATAAACAGCAAAAATATCTGCCCCTAGTCCCTACACAGATATGAATTATCCCCTGATATTTCTATTCTCTTGATTCCATTTCAGTTTCACAGCCGTAGAGCGGCAACCCCTCCTGCTTTAATTCTGCGCATGTCAGCAGAGGGTTATGTCCGTGGGAAAAGCACCAACGCCAGAAAATACTGCACAACCATCTTCACCTGGGATAGCAGATTTGACAGCACTGGCATACCCATTGAGATAATTTGCATCGCCTCTTGCTGTAGTACTTGACTTGTATTCACTCACCTCTGTACGTTCTGAATCCTCTCCTGTGAATTCATATGCCTTTGAGACAGGAGAATCCTCATGACAGCAGGAAAAGTCATTCAGCGAGCCTGGACAGGGGCCACATTCAACTGTATTGCCATCCTCTTGTTCTTCCCTGGAGATCTCTTCCGACACAGTTAAGCATGGATTTGATCTGACCATTGCTATGCCCTCTAAGTCTCTGACATCTTGCGAATAAGGTAAATGAGATGGCTGGACCAAGCTGCAGGGACTCTTATTTGTAATATCAGAAGTCGACTCAACATCAATCACCTCCACATCCTCAGAGCGCTCTTTTTTGACATCTTGGTTAATTTCATGCAATGACACGTTTTCAAAGTCAGAAACCTGTATTTCTTGGCTGCTGTCAGGTGTCAAAGCCTCAGAACCTCTGCAGGCAGTTACGGTCTCTCTGTTTGAAAGGCCTGCAACTTGACCTGTTGGGCTAGGCTCCACCTCCACTTTTACAGTTTGTTCTTCCTTCCCTAACGATTCCGTGGTTTGAAGGCCTGATGGCCTCGCATTAACCCTGCCCACGAAACAAAGCATGCAGCTTCAGTCCAAAAGTATTATTTTGACACAAATTGGTATTACTGTCCACAAAGTTGCACGCATGTGGCCATTGTGTTCAGCGAGAGCATTTAAACCTAATAGTTAACTATGAATTAATTTTTTCCCATAAAATGACCTGTCCGGCCCCTGCACAATATCATATGAAAACTCGTCACATTAAAAAATATCTGTAAGCATAAAAGCTAAATGGCATCAGAAAGTTGAGTCATAAAAAAAGAAAAAGCATTGCATCCGTTCAGAATAACTCAGAGCGAAAGAGAAAACATTAATCATTTCAAAACAAGGTCTTTGAAGCACCTGTTGTACAAAAGCATGTATGCTCCCTGAGAGAGTACCTCCTCCAACTCCACACTCGTAACCTGACGGATAAAAAATAAATAAAAATGCTAAATGTTCATACACATTATATGCAGTAGGTGGTGACCCTATGGGAAAATGTACGAAGTCGCAGGAAAAAGTCATAGCAAATTTACCTTACTGTCATCAACCCAGTACCAGTTTCCCTGAAAATCCTTGATGCAGCATATGTAATGACCAAAATAAGAAGCGTTCAGCATATCCAGATGAACTACGACGGCATAAAGCTTATAGATATTTGACCCATCTGCTGCCTCACTCATGTAAGGGCTAAGATCTAGAGTCTCCGGGAAAGTTATTCTCTTGTTAAGTTTTCCAAACCTCCCACTCTGCAGCACACACCACCAAATAAACACAAAAATAAAACCGTTGTGCCCAAACAAAAAGACAAATAAAAATTCAGAACCTTTTTATGTATTAGAAACAGAACAGTTCATCCAAAAAACTGTCTTCCTTTATTCAACATTTTCATCTATACAGCTCAAGTCACATGAAACATCTTTTGGGAGAGTTGGATGCAACTAGATTTTTTTGGTAAGCAGATGCGATTAAATTTTTAACAATAAGGCAACTTGGAAGAAAGTTTCTGGCACATTTCACATACCTGGAATCTTTTGAAGGCAACTGTAAGAACATTAGGCGCTTGTTTTACAGTAAGACGTTTCCATGCCTGTACATAGTCATTGCACCTGCAAAGAGTAGCAAATCCTGTGTGAGACAAGGTCTACCTGACAGCAAACGCACAATACCAGAAGCAAAACTTTGAACATTATATGTAAGAGCATGCCCAGATTCCATACATAAACTTCCCATTTAAAGGATAATATCTTTAAATCCCTGAACCAAAAGATAGCATTTACCAACGATTAGAACCTTCAGAAAAGAACGTCCAAAAAAATCCGAAGTATCCATATTTGAATTTAGCAACCATAAACATGAAAGTAACAATGCCAAAAACAGAAAGAAATATACAAAATTATAGTCAACCAATTGAAGGTTCCAGCATCTCGTCAATGGAACAAATAAATTGCACTTGAGGAATAACACAATCTAAAACTTAAATAAACAGAACAGTCAACCTTACCCATCACATTTGTACATATTGTCCCCATGGAGCCACTCCTTCACGGTGAACAGGTCCAGACATCCTTCCAGAGAGCCCACATCTCCTTGAATTTCAACCGTCAAGTCTATCATATTTTCATATTGATTTGAAATTTTATCACATTTTGAACAAATCACCTGTTTAAATAAGAAATATGAAGACATGAGCATCCATGTGAGCAGCAACAAAACAAAAAGGGCAGATATTGAAAACCACCTTTTAGAAAAATAAAAATAAAAAGAAGACACTGAAAATTTCCAGCTGTTAAATGAGCCAAAAATGTGATGACACTGACTCAAGATGATCGACAAGCAAACCACTTCATCTCCTAAAATCTCACCCATCATCACAACCAGAAACTTGAACAGTGTCACTCACAAAGGTTAGCCTTTTGCCGGTCTTCATAATTGAACAATGATGAATTACAAGTAAAATCGGCCATTTAATGACTCATTTCTAAAGTTTTTCAAAAAATGTATTACTCAGTACACAAAAGAAAAACTTATTACATAATAGAAATTAAATGGTTCAGTGTGACTGTTCCAAATTATGTGAGATGATTACAAGGAAAAAGATAGGAATAAAAATCAAGGCGAAGACAGCAAGAATCATGGTGCTATATTTAAAAGATAATAATTGCGTATTATTTTAAGTGCTGAATTCTGAGATTTTAACTCAAAAATGGAAGATGAAAGCCAGCAACATAACCCCTAACCTTGAAGAAAGGGAGCCAAACTCTTATTCAATTTCCATCTATGCAGTATCAGTGGACTGCTCACAGACAGACAAAGTTTATCCTCATCTAAAGAGGATCAAATGATAACAGGGAAAAAGGAGATTCTAAATCATCGAAGTCTCTGCTGCCATGTACAGTTCATGAGATCATAAAACTGAACACAGCAAGTTTTATTTAACCATTTTAGGTCAGGTTAATCTTTAACCTTGTGCTGATTATGCACATTAATAAAATATAGCGAGTTATTCATAAAATAGGGGCACGATAGCATTGATTGCACATATTTAAGACCTGAGATTGAAGGCGACCACCAAAGATGTGCTGCATAAGAGTTGTCTCTTGCAGTCTAGGAGGGACAACTTTTTCACCCCCGAATTCATGGAGACAAACAGATTGCATTGTATCAATTGCAAACCTACAAAAATTAAAATATCAATTCTGCTGTGTGTAAAATATATTTCCTTCTAAAGCATTGTCAATGTAAAATTCATTACAAAAAGTCAAATGACATTGTTAGCAGAGAAAATTAGACCTCATAAACTCATGAGCATCCTCTTGTCTTCCATAACCTAGAGTGCCACCAATATTAGGTAAATGGGAAAGAATATTCATCGGAGAAAAGGCCTGTGAACTTTGCCTGGCTCTTTCAACATGGATTTGAAATTCACATAGGAAGCACCAGTCATCAAGACTACCTGGAAAACCATGCCGAACAACCATAAACATGAGTAAAAGCCGAGAACCAGCAAGACCAAGAGAAAAATCTAATCGTTGACATTACATTCTCGACGATGTCCTTTCTCCAACAAATAGGAGACAAGTGGCCTTGTGAATGAGAGACATTGAAGAACCGCATTAGCAAAGCAGCTGCACAGATTAGCAACGAATTTAATTTTGAATCCCAATGAAGCTAAATATTATTCACAAGATTGATTACTATAAAGACAAAAACCTGTTTCCGCCATTCAGTAGTCCACAAGGAGGAAATTCTAAGTTGTCCCGGCTGAAAAACCCAACAAATTCATCATATGGAAAAATAACCTGGAAAGAACAAATGTTAAATTTAGTGTTCGAGAAAATATTCAAGATTCAACCGACAAACGTCGAGTGAAATATTCTATGAAGCTGTCTACAAAAATTACATCCTTCAGCTGCTTGATAGGGCGTGACTTTCCGCAAGCTGGTACCAGCGTAATTGCAGACAAATTTTTATACCCAGCTGAGGCTTTAAGCCCAACATCAGTTGCCCCACTTTGAGTCGAATTGGTTCCATTAGTTTGACAGAAATCCTTGCATTTTGTTTTATGTCTAGATTTCCAGTCCGCCACTTGACACGCTTCAGAGCTGGAAAATCAACAGCGACAAGATTCAAAAATTATATATTTTTTAAATTTTGTAACAGTACTTTTAAAAGAAAGTGATCGTTTTTTTGGGCCAGCGTAAAACGATCAAAATGAAAAACAAAATAAATATGTCAGCTTCATGAGTAACCTTGAAGTTGCAGCACCGAATAACTAAAACTAGAGGTAAACAAGATCATATAAAATTACTGAGACAATAAGACGCAAGAAAGTCCAAAGCCGCTGATCACATTGAAGAAAAGCCAAGAAACCAGGATGAAGAGATAAAAGAAATTCGAGGAAGGATCGGAAGGGGTACCAATATCGTACGGCTTTACAACGGGAGCACTTCTTAGTGCCGGATTGGCCACAGACGGCACAAACAGGATCTTGCATGAGAACACCGGGCATTGGAGTTCGATCGGCGGGGTGGTCCCCCTCAAAATTGGCGTCGACCTCAAAATACTTGGAGGCCGTATTCTTGACGACCGTATGCAATCCAATAGCAACCAATAAAGCGGTGAATATCAGTTGCAGGAACCAATTGAGATCCCAGGACACCGCCGAGACAAGCATCTACGCCGCCCCGACGTTGTTGATCGACGATATGGCACCGATACGGAGGTTTTTCATGGATTATGTCAACCCTCTAAACTTAAAAATAATTAATCCTGCATAAAGCAATTCCTTTCAACACAGATTAGGGTTTACTGCACTGTTCATTGGCTTCTGTTATCCTCGTCGGGGTGCCAAGCACAACGCGGAGTGCTCCTTTACATTCTCCGCCTTCCTCTATCTGTGTGTTTAAGGCTTTAATAAGGGAGCGACACAGGATTAAGAAAACTGTTTTTTTTTTAAAAAAAAAAACACACGCACATCTATCACTTCCCTAGGGTCATGATATTGATAATATAATACTCTTCCGGTCCTTATTATAAGACCCAATTTAACTTTTTATTTGGTCCTAATTATAAGACTCAATCCATTTTGTCTCTTATATTTATGTATTTTTTTCCAAGATAATCCTTCTAATAATGATAGTTTTAGCCAATATACTTAATTAGCAAGGATATTTTAGGAATGACAACACTTATTTATTACAAATAACCAACTTAACTTACTTCCTTAATCTCCTCAAATAAGTTAATTGGGTCTTATAATTAGGACCGGAGGAGTAAATCAATATAAAACTGATATATAAAAAGTATTTGGAAAGTATTTTGTAGTCATCAACATTTTAAAATATATTGAATACATCAAAAAATATTCAGGTACTGAACATCTAAAAAATAATAATTTAAGGTATTAGATGTGCTTAAAAAAAAAAGGGAAAATTTCACTGTAGGACCGCAGAAGACAATTAATATCAAAGAGCCCTCAAAACTTTCTGAAACCTCACTGCAGGATCAAGGGACCAATCTGATATTAATTTTTAGAGTGAGATTACAATAATACCCCTCCCTTTTTATTTTATTAAAAAATAAATATTTACCGGAGTTACTGTTCCGGCCACTGGCGCTCAGGTGGCCGCCGTCGGGGTCCGGTCACCGGTGGCCGGAACAGTAACTCCGGCGGGACCTCCGGTGGCCGAAGTTTTTTGTTTAAAAGAAAGTGGCCAAGGGAGGGTTTGAACCCAGGACCCCTTGGCATACCAAAAGACTTGTAACCACCAAGCCAAGCAACCCATTCAATCATAAAATCCAAATAAAACTACATATAACAAAATAAACGCAACAGTCTAAATGTAAGTGAACAAGTGAAATTAGACGATTTACAAGTGGAATTCAGAAATTTGCAACAAAAATTAGGCAATTTACAAATAACATAATAGAAGTTATAACCCAAAATGCAAGTATTTAAGTGCAAATGAGCAAGTAAAATTTGAAGATTTACAATAAAAGTTTATGGATTTACAACTCAAATTCGGTAAACACAAGAGAATTCACAACCCAAAATGTAAGTGTTTGAGTGTAAGTGAACAAGTGAAATTAGACGATTTACAAGTGAAATTCAGCAATTTACAACAAAAATTAGGCAATTTACAAATAACATAATGGAACTCACAATCCCAAATACAAGTGTTTAAGTGTAAATGAGCAAATAAAATTTGAAGATTTACAACAAAAGTTTATAGATTTGCAAGTGAAATTTGACAATTTCACTTGCTCATTTGCACTTAAACACTTGCATTTGGGGTTATGACTTCTATTATGTTATTTGTAAATTGTCTAATTTTTGTTGTAAATTTCTGAATTACACTTGTAAATCGTCTAATTTCACTTGCTCACTTACACTCAAACACTTACATTTTGGGTTGTGAATTCTCTTGTGTTTACCAAATTTGGGTTGTAAATCCATAAAATTTTATTGTAAATTTTCAAATTTCACTTGCTCATTTGCACTTAAACACTTGCATTTGGGGTTATGACTTCTATTATGTTATTTGTAAATTGTCTAATTTTTGTTGTAAATTGCTGAATTACACTTGTAAATCGTCTAATTTCACTTGTTCACTTACACTCAAACACTTACATTTTGGGTTGTGAATTCTCTTGTGTTTGCCAAATTTGGGTTGTAAATCCATAAATTTCTTTTATAAATCCTCAAATTTCACTTGCTCATTTGCACTTAAACACTTGCATTTGGGGTTATGACTTCTATTATGTTATTTGTAAATTGTCTAATTTTTGTTGTAAATTGCTGAATTACACTTGTAAATCGTCTAATTTCACTTGTTCACTTACACTCAAACACTTACATTTTGGGTTGTGAATTCTCTTGTGTTTACCGAATTTGAGTTGTAAATCCATAAACTTTTATTGTAAATCTTCAAATTTTACTTGCTCATTTGCACTTAAATACTTGCATTTTGGGTTATAACTTCTATTATGTTATTTGTAAATTGCCTAATTTTTGTTGCAAATTTCTGAATTCCACTTGTAAATCGTCTAATTTCACTTGTTCACTTACATTTAGACTGTTGCGTTTATTTTGTTATATGTAGTTTTATTTGGATTTTATGATTGAATGGGTTGCTTGGCTTGGTGGTTACAAATCTTTTGATGTGCCAAGGGGTCCTGGGTTCAAACCCTCCCTTGGCCACTTTCTTTTAAAAAAAAAAACTCCGGCCACCGGAGGTCCCGTCGGAGTTACTGTTCCGGCCACCGATGACCGGACCCTGACGGCGGCCACCTGAGCGCCGGTGGCCGGACCTCCGACCTCCGGTGGCCGGAACAGTAACTTCGGTAAATATTTATTTTTTAATAAAATAAAAAAGGAGGGGTATTATTGTAATCTCACTCTAAAAATTAATATCAGATTGGTCCCTTGGTCTTGCAGTGAGGTTTCAGAAAGTTTTGGAGGCTCTTTGAAATTATTTGCCTTTTGCGGTCCTACAGTGAAATTCCCCCAAAAAAAAATACTTCATGGATCTTAATTAATTTGTCAGTGCGTTGACTCAACGGAACCGAGGTGACATAATAGGTCTGATTCTGGCGCAAGAGTCTCTCGCGGGATGCAGTTTGCTCGTGACTCTTTTCCTTCCAAATTTTACTCTCTTTTATCGTTAATAGCGTGTTTGAGGTTTGAACACAAAGCTCTGCGCTTGAAAAAGATTTAGCAAGCCATTGAGCTGTAGTAGCATACTCACGAATTCCATTCATTATTGTTACCTTTTGTAGCTTTGGGTTTTATTGTCGCCTTATTAATCTCCTTCTCCTACCCTTTAATCACTTTTTCCCTTCCATTCATTGGCTAAAAAGCATGGGGACGGGGCAAAAAGAGTGGTCCCAGATTTTAGTTCCCTCTTGTATAAAAGCAAAAGCATGGACACGTAATGATGCGAGCCTTGATTTGGGACGATGATAACGTCCGTTTTAACACAAGAAAATGCGTCGTACTATATGTTCCCGGAAAAAAAAAAAAAAAAAACAATAGGCATGGTTCAAAAGATAAACATAGTAATTTTTATATTTCTGGGAACATGGAATTCGGAATCGCGCCACGGAGGTCAATGCACTATGCATATGTGAAAGTGAAACAAAACGTGGGAGGGTGGGTTAGATGATGAAATCTAAGAAGCTCTGAACTTGTAGGTTTAGACAGATAAGGAAAAAGGGAAGCCCAGGATGGTGTCTTAAATTTAAGACAGCCACGTAATTAAACAATTTTCTATCCGGGCCACCTAAAATCCTTTATTAGGGCGGTTTGGTTTGGTGTTAATACATTGGTCGTGCTTTTTAATCATAACATGGTTTGCTTCTATAATCAATTGTTTAACCTACCCCTAGCTAGAATTTGGGCAAGAACATGCTTTCACTGATGTAATAAGTTGATGGGAAACTGCTTCACTTCACCTGGTTGACACATCATTTTCAAGGTTAAATTTAAGGGTTCAAATTTGATAATTATCAAAAATATTAATTAATAAAAAATATTAATATCGAGATCATCTAACCCAACAACATCAGGCATTTTTTAAGCATAAAATTACATGTCTAACTCCATAAACATGATGGATGTTTCGATAATTGTTTGCGAAGTAATCAACTTCTTCGATGAGATATTACGAAGATCATGTTATTTTCAGCTCATGGTGGAAGTAGAAGAAAAGATATTTGGTTTGCATTCTTCACGGGAAAAGTATTGCGTCTTGGATCTTCTCTCTTTAACTCCCGTAACAATGTTTCCAATCTGAAACCCCCTCCCACCCTCACGTAGGGGTGGAAACAGGCCAGGCGGCCTGTCAGGGGCCTATGGCTTGGCCTGTATTTGGTCTGGTCTGGCCTGGCCTGTTTCTCAAAAAAGACAGGCTCAGGCCTGTTTGAAGGCCTGTTTAGTTAAACAGGCCAGGCTTAGGCTTTTTAAAAAGCCTGTTAAGCCTGTTAGGCCGGCCTGGGCCTGTTAGGAATTTATAATCATAATATATGAAAAAATTAATTAATGCTATTATTGTTAATGTGCTCTTTTAATTTATTTTTTAATTTTAATATATAGTTAATAGCTTAATCTTTTCTTAGATTTTGAAGTTTAGATGACAAGTGAAGATAAAAATATAATTTAAAATAATAATATCAATAAATAATGTGATTTTTAAATCTTAAAAATATAAAGAAAATAGGAAAGAAAAATTTTGTTCCAAGAATGATAAATTAACTAACTTACGTATTATGTTAATTTAAGTATGATACCCTCTTTATTCATTATAAAATTAGTATTTTTTCCTCTTTATTTATTTGTCTTAATTTTAATTTTGTGTGTGTACTTAAACGTAGTCTTATTCCAAATTTTAACATATAATTACAATTAGTTTTCAATAATATTCTTATAAATTATAATTAAGATTTAAAATAGTACTTATGATACTAAAATTTAAATAAAAGACAAGACTAAAAATTTAATTATTATGTACGTTTTTTTTAATCTTAGCTTTTTTTAAAAAAATAATTATTATAATTTGAATTTTTTAAAATACAGGCCTTTTAACAGGCTTCAGGCCAGGCCAGGCCTTTATACAAGCCAGGCTCAGATTGAAAAATAAGCCTGCAACAGGCCACAGGCCAGGCTTAGGCCAATAGGCTCCAAAACAGGCCTGGCCTGTTAAGAGCAAAGCCTGGCCTGGCCTGGCCTGTCCTGTTTCCACCCTTACCCTCACGTTCCTATTTTGTTTTCTTGACCTGGATCCGTTTCTTTGACTAAAGTACAATGGGCGGGGCCTCCCTTACTCTAAATGGGCCGGATCCGAGATTAGTGTTCAGTCCATTTTCCAGGGGTCAGATAATTCAGGAATACTCGGGC